TTTTTACTATATCTATTTATTATAAAAAAAATTATAAATTGTTCATCAAGAAAAGCTAGAAAAGTTTTTTTCCTTTTCTTAAATAAAGTTATCATAAATATTAAAAATAATAATTATTGAATATTTTATTAAAAAAAGTTCTAATAAAAATAGAAACAGTAAAACATTTTTCCCAAATTCTTAATAAATATATTCGAATTATACTAATTGTTTTCCTTTCATCGTTAATTTTAAAATCAAAATCACATTTAAATTGTTTCAATTCAGAATAAAACAACTTTCAATTATTTTAAATAAAATAAAATAAAAACACGTCTTGTTAGTGGACAAAAGTCTATATTATCAACTCACTTTTATATGTGTTTTTTTTAATTAGGTAATACTAAAATCGACCAAATTATTATGTTAGCCTTTATTAAGGGCTTACATACTATAAATTGACAGTACATAATCAATTTTTTTAATTACAAAATATTATAAAATACAAGTATATGACATAATAAAAAATCTCAGGCCATATATAATGATCAAAATCGTTTAAAATATACATTTCAAATGTAAGTTAAAATAATATTAGAATTTCTTTACAAAAAATAATAAAATAATAACATTTAGTTTATAGAAAAAGATTTGTAGTTTTCTTCTAATTTTGAAATAAAAATAGATTTGTAGTTTCTCAATTTTCGAATCCAGTGACTTTCTTTAGAATTCTTATTTTAAATATTATAAATGTTGTAATTGAATACCCAAAACGAAACATTTAAACTATAAGTTGACATATAGTTTTCATTTTTATTCGTTTGATAACTTGTACGAAAACTAAGCTTTCACTATTTGATGTTACATTTAATTGTCTAACAATTAAAAATCCACCAAGGACATCAATCAGATTTAAGAATCGTTAATATTTTTCTATTTTAGATCTCAATATTTATTCTTTCAAATTTAGTTTACAACTTTATTTTTATGAGAATTTTCAATTTAAAAATTATATTGTTAAACTCCCGTAAGGTCATTTGCGGATTTTTATTTGAGGAAAAATTGTTGTCATGAATCTTTTTCCTTGTTGGATCTTTATATGGAATTGTTGGAATTGTATTTGCTTACGTAAAGTGGATATCTTTTTTAAAAAAATTACAAAAATTATTATAAAAATATATATTTGTAATTATTAAACTTATTCATTCTCACCGTTTTCTTTCATATTTGGAAGATTTAAACTATTATTTAAAAAGTGTGTCAATCAATTTAAAAGTTTCATTAATAGATCATACGCTATTGTTTTGATCTCATCCAATGATCTAGAAAATAAAAATAATGAATATTTCGGACAATAAAATAATGGATCAATACTATATTTTTTTTCTTACATCGGATCCATGTTACATCTCACAATTTATAGATATATGTTTCTACAACATCATCATAATAGGTTACTTCTTGCTTATATTAATGAGTAACATAACTAATATGAATGTTTCTTAACTTTAATTATATATGTATGTGTTTCGATAAATAATTTCTTCTTTTATCTTTTCATCCTCTAAATATAACACATTTCAAACATTCAAACAATATAATTTCCTATCTTACAATATTATCATCCTTGAGTACATTAAAATAATTATAATATTTTATTACAAACTATTCATTTAAATTACAACTTATTATAAACCACTGTTATTTTATTTTAATATGATTCAATAATTCTTAATTTATAATGTTTATAACAACGTAATTTTATGTTTACTATGACAATAAATCTTAAAAATTGTTACAATCATAATGTTAAAAATAATTACAAGAAAAATATAAAAATTTTATTCAAGAAAATACAATTGAAACTATTTTCCCACCAAGCCCTATTAATTTATATTTTTTCTCAGCTTATTTTTTTTTTATTATTTAAAATAACAACTCTAATCCCATTTTAATATAATTTACTCTATGTATATTTAAATTTATATGTCTTTTGTCTTTGAGGATAAAATCATAATCATATAATTTTATTTATTGAAACATTTTTTTATCTATCTTACTCATTATATTATACATACATTTTTTTTCCCAAAATCACTCAAATAAGACTGTTTTCATTTATTTAAACAACCCACCTTTCCGTAATCTAGTTCCCCAAATTCATCTCTCTCATCCAAATAAAGCCAAGAGTTTAGTGTTTTTTCCATCTATGATAAAAACATGATAACTGATTATGATATAAATTTTACTAATCTTGGTATGTAAATATTACAAATTAAATAATAATAAAGTAGTATAAAGGATCAATTGAACATATTTAGATTTGATGGTCTCATAACCACAATTTAAATGTTTATTTTGTAAATATAAGACATGTTAGAACGATGACATAAAATGAAGTTGAACACAGATTAAAAAAATAAAAATAGCTTGTAGACTTTTATGAATAAGTATCTTAATTTATTTATTTTGTATTGTGGTGTAAATAATAAAGTTGTTATCGTAAAGGAATGCGTCGATATCTAGAAAAAATTACAAATAGACACTGTAGTTGTTTTACAAACATGAATATTAAAACCAAATGGAACTTAAATCTTTATAATCTACAAATGATATCTTGAAATAATATAAGAATAAATATTATTATATAGAATTTGGGAGNCAGAAGAAAATGCCTAATGGCATTTCATAATCAAAATGAAACATTAACCCACAATAAACTGCATAAATTGACTCACTGTGGGAGAAAGAATGCTTCCTGAACAAAGATTATCTTTAGCAACGCCTGATTCAACATTTAACGTCCCAGAATCACTCTTCGCGGGTGTAGGGCAAGTAGCTGGCATTTCTTCCGGTTCATCCTTTTCTACATAATCAGCTATCCCCTCGTCCATCAGGGTATCGTCATCATCTTCAGAAGAAGCACTAGATCTACAAAGCAGATGAACATGAGTATGCTTTCTAAGGTTAAAAATGCGTGCTAAGCAAAATCTTTATGCAAATCCACCTACTTCTTTAAAATCTCCAATTTCCTTTGCCGAATTTTATCTAATATCAAAGAAATTGGCTTTTGAACGAGAGGAGCAGGTTTAAAAGCCGCATCTCTAGTTTCTGTTAAAACCACAGTGAACTGTTAGAGCGTGTAAAAACTCGAATCTCCACTAGATCATAAAATCGATTATTGCTTAAAAAGTAATCCGTACCTCGAAGGAGCCTTTGAGACTCGGCTCGAAGATTTTTCATAGTTTCTCGCCGTTCCTGTTAGTTCATAAAATCCACAAATTAGCAATTCCGAAACCAAACGCATCAATACTCAAAACGATCTAACAAAATAGGCAAACGCAGTAATCCACCTTCTCGGCTTTTCTGTTATTGATGGCTGATTCTTTAGACTTCTTTTCACTTCCATCACTGCTGACAATCCTCTTCTTCTTTTTGCTCTCTGGCATGTCAGTTAAACTACGTCGTTTCCTCTCTACTTCGTCGTCGGTATTCAAAGCCATAAAATCATCGCTGGCCTTCAGATCCCTAACATCTTGACTCTCACCATCAACCTTTTCGTGTTCCTGAATTACTGAATCAAAATCCCTAACCTCTTGACTCTCACCATCAACCTTTTCGTGTTCCTGAATTACAGAATCAAAATCCCTAACCTCTTGACTCTCACCATCGACCTTTTCGTGTTCCTGAATTACAGAATCAAAATCGAGAACCCTCTTCGCGCCCAAATCATCATCTTTGACGGTTACGCCTCTTGGAAAGTCGGACCGAGGACCTGGACTAGGGATTGGTACCTGATGTTCTTGATCGGACCCAAATCCTCCGTTTGACACCGTGAAGTGTTCTTCGCATTTTCTGGATTCATAAGAAACAGCGGGCGAGGATGGAGGATAAGAAGGTTCGTGAACCTTACTTGCTTTCTTCAAACGCTTCAGCTTTCGTTCGTGGACGGGAGATGAAGGCAATAGCGCAAGGTCGTCGTCGCTCTCCATGGATGGTTCTGAACTGAGTTTCAGAGTTTGGTTGAATCAGGATCTTCGCTTTGGAAACGAAAGCCGCAAGACTCTGCAAATAAAAAGGGGTCGTTGCATCATTATACCCTAATGAAATGGCGGCAAACACTTTCGAAATTGAGAAAAGGCGCCAAGGGAACCCTTGGTAATTTCTTCTGTTTTTTAATTTCTTACATAATATAAACTCGTTGTGTATTTGTTTACGAAAAAAACATTTTTTAATTATTTTTTACTATATCTATTTATTATAAAAAAAATTATAAATTGTTCATCAAGAAAAGCTAGAAAAGTTTTTTTCCTTTTCTTAAATAAAGTTATCATAAATATTAAAAATAATAATTATTGAATATTTTATTAAAAAAAGTTCTAATAAAAATAGAAACAGTAAAACATTTTTCCCAAATTCTTAATAAATATATTCGAATTATACTAATTGTTTTCCTTTCATCGTTAATTTTAAAATCAAAATCACATTTAAATTGTTTCAATTCAGAATAAAACAACTTTCAATTATTTTAAATAAAATAAAATAAAAACACGTCTTGTTAGTGGACAAAAGTCTATATTATCAACTCACTTTTATATGTGTTTTTTTTAATTAGGTAATACTAAAATCGACCAAATTATTATGTTAGCCTTTATTAAGGGCTTACATACTATAAATTGACAGTACATAATCAATTTTTTTAATTACAAAATATTATAAAATACAAGTATATGACATAATAAAAAATCTCAGGCCATATATAATGATCAAAATCGTTTAAAATATACATTTCAAATGTAAGTTAAAATAATATTAGAATTTCTTTACAAAAAATAATAAAATAATAACATTTAGTTTATAGAAAAAGATTTGTAGTTTTCTTCTAATTTTGAAATAAAAATAGATTTGTAGTTTCTCAATTTTCGAATCCAGTGACTTTCTTTAGAATTCTTATTTTAAATATTATAAATGTTGTAATTGAACACCCAAAACGAAGCATTTAAACTATAAGTTGACATATAGTTTTCATTTTTATTCGTTTGATAACTTGTACGAAAACTAAGCTTTCACTATTTGATGTTACATTTAATTGTCTAACAATTAAAAATCCACCAAGGACATCAATCAGATTTAAGAATCGTTAATATTTTTCTATTTTAGATCTCAATATTTATTCTTTCAAATTTAGTTTACAACTTTATTTTTATGAGAATTTTCAATTTAAAAATTATATTGTTAAACTCCCGTAAGGTCATTTGCGGATTTTTATTTGAGGAAAAATTGTTGTCATGAATCTTTTTCCTTGTTGGATCTTTATATGGAATTGTTGGAATTGTATTTGCTTACGTAAAGTGGATATCTTTTTTAAAAAAATTACAAAAATTATTATAAAAATATATATTTGTAATTATTAAACTTATTCATTCTCACCGTTTTCTTTCATATTTGGAAGATTTAAACTATTATTTAAAAAGTGTGTCAATCAATTTAAAAGTTTCATTAATAGATCATACGCTATTGTTTTGATCTCATCCAATGATCTAGAAAATAAAAATAATGAATATTTCGGACAATAAAATAATGGATCAATACTATATTTTTTTTCTTACATCGGATCCATGTTACATCTCACAATTTATAGATATATGTTTCTACAACATCATCATAATAGGTTACTTCTTGCTTATATTAATGAGTAACATAACTAATATGAATGTTTCTTAACTTTAATTATATATGTATGTGTTTCGATAAATAATTTCTTCTTTTATCTTTTCATCCTCTAAATATAACACATTTCAAACATTCAAACAATATAATTTCCTATCTTACAATATTATCATCCTTGAGTACATTAAAATAATTA